TATATATATACACACACACGTCTTTGGAGAAAGGAAGAATGAATGGCGTGGCTCTCCTGCTTTTCATACTACTGATCTGTTTTATGCATACAGGGCTACATTTCTAGGTGTAAAAAAAAAAACAGTGACTCAGGAACATGGGTGTTATTTGCCATTGCTTGATATGTTTCTTGTTCCTGCTCTAACTTCAGCCTTGTGTTTTTAATTAGGCAGCCTCAAAATGTCCTTTAGGAGGTGCTACTGAAGCAACCGGTCATAAAATACTAAACCTAACACCCTCTACACAAATTTAGACGAGACAGTTTGCCTGGGTTCATCTGGATGTCTAGTACAACAAAGAAAGCAAGAAGAGCATGTGGAGGCCAAGACCACCACTACCATAGGGCACGATATAAGTCTTGCATTTGTTAGCTCAGTTCTGGGATGATAGCAATGCCTTATTACATATTTTACAGGAAGGGAGCCATGATTAGGAAGACGTGGTGCCTTTTGTGTTGTTTGTAGCTCGGTGCATGGGACCTAAGTCCTTTTTTATGTGCAGGATGAGACAAAGGGGCAGCAAATGAAAAACATCACTGATGGCATAAGGAAACGTGATATCTATGATGTTCAGTACTACAGCAGGAGCTTCATAGGCTGTTGTGCCGGAGTAGTGGGGATAGGTTGCATACATCTACATTTCTGGTGTAGATTAGATTATCTGCTCAGACGCCACCAAGCTATCCTTTTTTATGGCAAGTTGTATGCTTATGTGGCTTGCGTATGCTCTAGTTTTTTGCCTTGGCGATGAGGGGCAGCTGTGTTGGCTGAGATACCATCGTGTCAATCCCTTGTATGCACAAAAACCCAGCTATCATCCGTGACCACCACTCTTCATAGCTTCATACAGCTCACAATTCTTTCATCAGTCCATGAGTTGATCAAATCAGAACAAATTCTCCTAGGCTTTTCAGTTTTTCAGCATCTTCTGGGAGTCTGAGAATCTTTTTATGAGAATTCTGAAGGTAAAACATACACATCAAACTAACCATGGCTGCCATTGCTGACTGCCATCTAAAAACTAGCCCACTAGCCTCAATATTTTGAATGACTGTCCTGGAATAAGTGTACAGATGAAAAAAATCAGTAGTCTTGCTGTGCGTACCTATTGCAGGTCAGTGAATCAAAAGGGATTGAAACACGACAGCCAACTAGCATTGGCAAGCAACTAGCACTTTTAGAAGCACAGGTCAACAATGCAAGCTTCCGTGTTTCTCTCATTACAGCTTTTATTTAAGAGGTGTGCCTCTTTTTCCGGCATCTTCATGTACAAAGAGACTAGCAGATCAGGGTAATGTCTTTTAAAGTGTAACTATGGGCAAAATAAAAAATTACATATCCTGTATGTTGTGGTCTGTCACTAGCATTGGTCCAGAAATTTTGAAAAATAATGGATCTACTGGCAGGATCAACAGGCAATAAAACTGTTACGAGGGCAAAAAAAGTCTGTGGTAATGACAAACTGTATCATAAATGTTATTTTTGTATTATGCCTAGAGTTCCACTTTAAACTTACTGCCATCACTGAAGGTAGGGGATTATACACCATGCAAAATGCAGCACTACAGAATATGCTTCCTGTATACATTCAGTCAGGAAAAGGTTTTCTTTTCCAAATTGTCCATCTTAGGTCATTTTCGGAATAATAAAAATGCTTGAGCAGACCTTACCAGGAACATTTATTAGAGGAGATCCACTATTTTGCTCATTTAAAGTGATGATGTTAAGTCACATCATTCACCAATCAGTGATCAGGTTAGAGACTACAATACAATTTTGAGCTGCCAACATTAGTTGGTTGACAGAGATTTTGGCAGGCTTGTTCTTAGACTCCTAGTTGTATAGAGTAAGAACAAAATAGGGGCACTGCAGTAAAATATTTTATTCAAGTCAGTATTCTTTATTTTCCTGTTTCAGGAGCCACAGCAGCATAAAATACAAAGATAATACTACTGTTACTATAGATATAGCAGATGAAACATATATGTCCCACATTTAGGAAATGTTTCTGTGTGTCTGAAATATATTTGAAGCAGGACTCCGGGATTTGTAAAAAAAAAAAGAAAAAAACAACTCTTCCAGTGGACCCCCCCTCACCCAGCAATATAAGGTTGAAATGCTTGTTAAGTCTGGGGGTAGAGGCAAAAGCTGTAATACCCTACTCCTCGATCCGGCAGGCCTCCTCCATGCTGTGCGATCAGTGCCCCGAAGCTGCTTCTCTTTGGCGCTCTGGCTGCCGTTAGAACTCTGATATCATAACACATAATGCAAAACTAACAATCTTGCATTGTACGCGAGTACTGCAAGGGCCCATCCAGGACCCTGAGTGTTGGAGGGAAGAGGAGATCTCCAGTGTTACAGCTCATTCCTCTACCCGCAGACTTAACATTTAACCTTTGCAGTACAGGGGGACCCACTGCAAGAGTATATATATTTTCACAAATGCTAGAGCTCAGCTTTACTCCGTGTGCAGTGTTATAAGGGTTAAACATTATTCCAGTTTATTTCCACAGAGAATGTAATGTTATTGCGCAAAATGTATAAACATATATCTTCTTAAATATGTATTCAATATGTATATGGCAAACACATAAGAGAGCTGCAGGATAATAGGGTAATGCAAAGTAGAGTAACCAATCAGACATTGCTTTACAACAGTCACATCAGTTAAAAAAATTGAAAACATTGGTTGCCATGGGCTAATTCACTTTGAACTAGCAAATGTACTAACATTATATAAAGGCCCCTGTTTTTTTAATGAAGACACTGGTACCTGCTTTAGAACTTCACCTAATGTATAACATGCCAACACAGTTTATACCTATTCACTGAAGAACTACAAAAGCTAATGTGTCACCAATGTACACACTTGCCTTCAGATTTCTGACGCAAGCAGTCATTCAGTCACCCAAACTGGGGCCAGGTAGTAACACTGAACCAATTCACAGTGAGTGAAGGTATTGGAGCTCTTGATTCAGGAAATGGAAGTTAGGGACGTATGAGGCAAGAATTTTGCTTCTTGACAAAGTTCCCTAATATTATTTTAAACTGTGGTATATGTTAGCAGCAATCATGATTTACAGCACAGTGGCACCAGATCCTCACAAGCCAATAGGCAAGAACAGTAGAACCAGTTGAGTGTAGAAAATCCTATACTGGTATATCTGGTCCTATACCTGGTCCTATACTGATACTTTGGTCCCACATTCCATTATGGAGGAACCTAAATCTTTGTTTTCATGGACTGGTCTTTTTTCTTTGTGGTAACTGGGGCAGGTGTCATACATTACTTGGTGGATGGCATGTCACGACTGCAAGAAGTGCTGCTGTAACTCTACTATGCAGGCGTTACAGGATCACTTTAAATGGATTCGGCTACAATATGTAATGAAAGGGAAACTCTATATGAGTGTGTGTGACTGTGTAAATAACCTCATTAGTGTGTGTTAAATGTTTTTAGAAATATCTCTGCTTACTCTCTGTAATTATATAAGTAAGTACATAGGGACATCATATCTCAGGAAAATACGTGGGATGTGTATGGCTGATTGAATGCAATGATTGAATAAAACAAAAAAAGCATATTGCATACAAACATCGGCATATAGTTGATATGTACGCATAGTTGACACTGAAATCTGTATACCTACATCTTTTCTGATCGGCACCTATTCCAGGACATTTTATGTAGCTATGATTGGATTTCACTTCAGAATGCTCTGTTGCTGTACACTATACAGCTCTAGTTGTACAATTACATATACATAGTATTTGAGGTTGAATAAAGACATTAGTCCATCAAGTCCAACCTATTAGGATCTCATTCTAGGAGTACCTGTACCCCTGTATATTACGGTCCCTTAAGAAATCGTCCAAAAGTTTCTTGAACAATTCCACATTATTTGCTGAAATCACCGCCTGTGGCAGTGAGTTCCAGACCCTAACTGATCTTACTGTGAAGAACCCCCTTCGCCCCTTGTGCTGGAATTTTTTTTCCACCAATTTTAGGTGATGGCCTCTAGTTTTTGTAACGGAGTTAATTTTAAACAGTTTATCGCTAATGTTGCTACCACCATTAAACATTTTGTACATGGAAATCATATCCCCCCTTAATCTCCTCACCTCTAATGTGAACATGTTTAAATTTAGTAGCCTCATCTCGTAGCTCTGGTCCTCCATACCCCTAATTAGTTTGGTTGCCCTTCGCTGGACTTTTTCCAACTCAAGGACATCTTTTCTTAGTACTGGTGACCAGAACTGGACCGCGTACTCCAGATGAGGTCGAACCAATGATCTATAAAGTGGCAAAATTATAGACTTGTCCCTGCAATACATCCCCTTTTTAATACAGGACAAGACCCTGCTAGCTTTGTTTACAGCAGCCTGGCACTGCAAACTACCTTTCAGTTTGTGGTCTACAATGACCCCCAAATCCTTCTCCATTTCTGACTTCCCCAGCGGCATACCCATAATTGTATAACCCATTTGTTTATTTTTAATTCCAAAGTGCATATGCTCAATGAGAGACACCTGAGCTCAATTAACCCCTCCCCCTAACAAGAGCACTGCAACCTGAGGGGAAAAAAAAAAAAAAAGGGAAAAGTTTAAAAAAACTGACAGAAAAGGAAAAAGTTTTTAAATACTAAAAAAGGGTCTAAAAAGGAAGGGAGACAACAAGTATTCAAAAAATCAAGCACTCAATATATCCCAAACAGTTCAAATCCCAATTTTTTACGCCACTTAGCTCCCAGGCAATTTGTTCGCCAAGCCCTGTGTGAGCAAGCTCAAAATGAGTGATGCCAATATGA